ATGTACGAGGAGATCTCAAATTCAAAGATTCATCCAGTCTGATATTTTCATTATTGCACCATTGGTTTTTCATAAACTGAGTCTTGCGATTTATGCGTAGTCCGATCTTCATCCCCGCTTCCTTAAGTTCCTTGAACATCGCCTCTTTTTCAGCAGTGCCATTCGAGAATAAGACAATGTCATCCGCAAAACGAAGGCTTGATAGGAATTCTCCATTGACGCGTATGCCGTTCTCGTCCCAATTAAGTAACATCATTATCCACTGTAGTGCGGAGGTGAACAGCTTCGGCGATATGTATCGCCTTGCCGAACCCCTTTTCTAGTGGGTCTGGTAAGAAGTCGATGACATAGCTGTATTTTTCGCGGTACAGTTCCGATAGCACTCTGATAGAGTTCTCATGTAAGACGGATCCACTCCTTGTATAGCAAACCTCCCAAAGGAGTTTTGCTCTTTTCGGGAATTACGTGATAATTTAGGCAACGCAGATGGTCCATGACCTTAGAGAGCAAGTGGTATTGCAGAGGTTCGAGGACCTTAGACAGAAAATGGTCCAAGCGGCAAGGGTAGCACCCAGCTGCCACCAACTTCTACAGTCAGTTTGATCGCGGGGTATCATCCGAACGGTCGTTTGACTTCATCCAGACCACCTCACCTCAGATCGTTTGATCCATTATAGCTCTCTCCACACAATCTCGTTATCGTATAACTAATTGCATTCATAAGGTTGCGTTCATACAATTGTCAGATGAACTCAGTAGAAGTGAGCGGAAACATAGCGCTTCCGTGGCGGAACAAACTCACTTAGGCTATGCTCGGCCCACCACCGCAGTTAAGTGATTCTGCCCATATATAATCATTAGTGACCCCACTGCTTACACTATATATTCACCCACTGGATCCCACCGTTGGCTTGGTATTTATGGGCGAGCATAACAACTGGAACGGGCTCCGCTGCCTAGTCATGCTCCGTCACTTACAACAACTATGTCACTTACAATAACATCATGACTTACAATACACACTTACATACACCACTTACCATAACACTGTCGCTAACATGACGATACTTCTATCAATCGGTCATTCGTATTGACGTAGGCATATGCCCGCATAAGATATGTCGTAATCATGTATACATTATGATTACATTATCATTATAGTAATGTATGAGTATTATAGGTTGTTTGGTATAATCCATATAAAGGATTTAAACTTTGCTCTTTGTCCGTTGCGAGGCACAAGTTGGCAGCAGATCAAAACAACAAGACCACTGAACCTTCACCACACCTTGATCGGCAAGCGCTAACAGGCCGCGTTCGTTTCGATGGTATCAAATGCTTTTACATAGTCGATGAAAGTTAGGACTAAGGGTAGGTGGTATTCCTGACAGACTTCAATGACCAGTGATAGGGTTTGGATGTGGCCCATGCAGCAGAATAATTTACGGAATCCTGCTTGTTCAACTGGCTGAGCGTCACCAAAAGTTCTTGATATTGCAGAAGGATGATCTTCGTAAAAAGCTTGTAAAGTATGCTTGACACGCAGATTAAACGATAGGATGCGAGGGTTCCTTCGGTCACCCTTTTTATAGATGATGACTGGGCACGACGTCGCCCACTGGCCTAGAATCTTTACTTTTGAAGGTAAGATGTCGTATGTGCCGCTAGAAGTACATATAAATTATGGCCTCTTGCTCGCAGCAAATAGGAAGGTATGTTGTCAGGACCTGGAGCCGTGCCTTTTTTCATGCTTTCTATAGCGACTCGAACTTCAGAGGGCGGAATCCCAGGCGGTTTTTTCTCCAGTGGGAATTACGGGGTCCGCGACGGAGATGGTGGAACGGAAAAGATTGGTGTAGAATTCTTCCGTTATCACTTCCATATCATGGCGGGAAATTTTCGTGATCCCATTTTCGTTCATCAGTGCCGATGGCTGAACACTATAATTACACAGATTTCCGACGACACTTCTCCAGACCAGATCTTTCTTGCGCTGCTTCTAAATTCTTCTGTCGGTACCGATATGAGATATAGATACCTGCAAAGCTCTTCTGCAGCTGGTATTTGTAAACACCCTGCTAAACATATTGCATCAGGATCAAGCTCCAGCTCCCTTCGCTTTTCGAGTAACTCTTTCGTGATGGAGGAGATGCGATTGGCTGTTATGGATTAAGCAACTGTAGCTAAGTCGGCGCACCTCATAATCTTTTAACAAGCAACTCGTAGTCTTCGGTCAGATCATCGTCAATCTGCCAGTCATGGTTGGATAGGATTTTGTCTAGAATGTTCCCGTCGCAGACGATTTGGCAACTTCTTCTTGATCGATGGCATGAATTCTTTTCCAGCTTACGGCTGTATCGTATCTTTGCTCGAAGAAGGCGGTGTTCGGACCCAGAACAGAGTGATGGCACTGCGGTTGTGTCGGAAGGCACTATCTTCTGTTGGTAAGTATATGGTCGAATTCCGCATGCGTCGTGTCATTGAGTGACTCGCATGTCTACCGACGGTGTTCCTTTTTCTGAAAAAGTGAATTACCGTGGAAGAGACGTGCCGCTGTCAGGAATCCAGCGAGACGATTTCCATGTTCGTTTCTTTCATCTAATCCAATTTCTTCAATCTTGTATTCACTTTCATCAGTCACTCCCAATCTGGTATTGGAGTGTCCGACAACGAATTTGTAATACGCTTTATCATTGCGGATAACTTCTGCCATTTGATGGCAAAAGTCCAGTTTGTGCTCATCAGCTGCGTCGGTTGGTGAGTAGCAGTTGATGAGAGTAACTTTAGTACTACGCTTTGGTTGAAGTCAAAGAATAGCTAGACGAGGTGAAAGGAGTTCGTACGAATCGACGAAATGGGTGATGGACGGTGTGAACGACAAAGCCTACGCCTCTGACATCTCGTGATGTAACTCATTCTCCGCGAATTACGAGTAAGCCATTGTTCATGACGCATGTCAGTCATCCTAGCTTTCGTTTCTTGTACGGCAACTACGCGAAATTTTATGCGATTTGCTGCTTCAAGAAATGCGTGAAGATCGGCGTCAGTGGAGAGTGTTATTGCATTATACGTGCAGAGTAGACAACAATCTCCATGACGTGTCGACTGCGTATTCAATAGATCCGGTTCCGATGGCGTCGCGAATATCCTTCGCATCCCGTGGTTTTGTGGTCTTTCACCGGTTGTTCGCCGCCTGACGCCATGAACGAGAGCACCAAGTTCAGGTCTTCAGATCTTGATGACGTCGTTTCCAAGAAATTTGTTCGGCATCTGGTCCTGCTAGTCAAATTTCCCTTCAGTTGATTCGGAGATGGTTTTGAGACCAAATTAAGAAACAAGGTAGGAATGAATGAATAAAGTTAACCGACCAATCTGGAATGTTGTAGGGCTGAAGAGACGCTTTCAAGTTTTGACGATGTCGCTTTGAAGGAATAATTTTCTAGCAGCCAATCCGTTAGTCAGAATTATCACATGTCTAAATGTTCCTCAAGCGAGCAGAAGATTGAGAGCTCAGATACTCTTTTAAAAAGAACCATGAACTGTGGCAATGGCAAGTCGTTTATTTTGAATGCTTCCTGGTGACGTACGTGATTTTTGCGGATGGCTTACTACGCAGGGTCACTCAACATGATAGTATAAAGGCGGCCACGTGGAAGGACTCCACGTACGTTCCGTTCCTTCTGCTTCTCGGTCCTACCTAATATCTTCAACCCTAGCCCTCCACATCTTGTTGTTCAGTCTGTCATAAGACTTCCCCCTAGCCTTTTGATGAAGTTTTTTTCGATGTTCGTGTAAGTCATACCTTAGGAGTAGGTTGGAATGATGAAAACCTTGGACCCAATTTTAATAGTGACGTGCTCCATCAGGAAGAGTTATGCATCCTAACAGAGTGAATCTTACTTCATAGTACATTGTTTGTCCTAAAACAACTCGCATGATCTTCATTAGCGTTGTTTCTCTGTTTTTTCATCTTTTGTGACTCACTCAAAAGTTTTTTGAGGGAACGAATCGAAAACATCGACGCGGAAAACCCTCGAGACTTTCTGATTATATTCCAGAAACTCGCAGTGGACAAAAATAGGGAGTGCTCTAACCCAACCAACCACGTGACCCTTATCTGAGATTGATTTTCTAGTCTGTGTACAGCTGACATCGACTTGATCTAGTGAACTAGGGGGGGGGGGGGTGGGAAGAGGGTGGGTTCAAACGTCACTTTTTGCAATGAACATAGGTAGTCCCTAGATTAACAACACGGTGAGTAGTTTTTCCTGACTCAATTGTCGCTCATCAATGCCTTAATTATATAAATAACGTTACAATAAAAATACGCTTAGGATTCAAAGAAGGCGTACTTGCCGAAGCGTCAGTCACATATTCAAGAAGATTTGTCGATCGTCATCAAGGACAATCGATCGAATAGGAGTTACCGACCTCGTTAAAGCTCAAAATAAAGAATAGTTTCTAGGTTGTTCTTTTGTTTTCCTCAGTTCGATATTATTAGTATGCCGAGTTTCAAGGAAAGTCGGTCTTTCGGGTTGTTACGAAATCTACCAGCTAAACTTTTTCGATTTATCAAGGTAGTATTATCATCAAGACAAAACATCGTTTTAATCGAAGGAAAGACCTACTTTCGTCGCCGCTGCATAAGAAACAAAGTCATTTCTGAATTTATAAAATATAGGAACCTATATAGAATGTGCGGCTTGCCAAACGATTCACACTACGGTAACATGAATGAGTTGTGGTGCAATTACTGAACATTTATATGCGCTTATTACGCATTTGTCCGCGAAATACGCAAAACGAACTGTTTTTGCTTTTGGGAAAATCATTTTACAAGGAATATCATTATGTTCAGTATTTGGATAGGAATCTTTGGAGAAGAGTAGTACATGAATCTATGTCTATTTGTAGCGATATTCGATATAATATAAAAGATAAGTTACGAAGAAAATTTTAAAGCCTACTACGGGAGCATGAATGAGTGGTGGAGCAAATGTGCCTCGATGGTGTAGTAGTACAGCATGTGTCCTTAGCATGAATGAAACGCGGGTTTAATTCCTGCCTGAGGCCGTGTTTTGCTCACGACTCAGTTTTCTTAGGTATACTACGCGAGCGAAATTCAGGTTCAAAAAATCAAAGTAACCTCACTGCTAACAAGTTCAGAAGACAGTCTAAGGTGGAAGACGCACTAAAGCCCCCCAGACCACCATATTTGGTGGTACCACTCTTCCGCATAGTGCGCTATCACTATTAGAATTGGGACCAGGCTTTTCCCTTGCTCAACCCCTATCCAAAACAGCTCTGCGCGCTATCATTTATAATCTACATGAATTCCTAGATCAGCTACGATATAAAGCAAACAGGAAAGGTTATGTCTAGAACAACATAGAGAGGCGACACTACCACCAGCTCTTTTCCACGAACGTTTTTTGAGCAACAACAACCTGGTAGCGAAAATGACTCAATTTTCCGTACATTTTCGAACGAACTTCTCCACGCACTCAATCGCTACCGATGAAGCGAATTTAGCTCAAACCTAACTAGGAAACAAAAACGTGGTATGAGGCAAACTCGAGAGCTGGTAAACTCAAAAACGTCCGGTAGTCTGTATGCGATAAGGGTGAGATATTTGTAGTATTCCTAGCTAGTTGGATGTTGAAATTACGGAAAAACGTCTCCAAGATGCTCTCTCTCTATCGACTTTCCTCTGAAGAGGAATAAAATCGCAATATCGAAAATTGAAAAATGAATGCGTCCAAACGGCAGAGGCTGCGGGCTTACAACAATCGCTTCTTCGTTAACTAAAGATTGAATTGCCAACTTTCCCCTTCCTTTATGCCCTCATTAGAACACATAAACTTTCCATTAATGATTTTGGGTCTACCGATCCCTCTACATTCAGAGTTAGACTAATCATTAACTGTGTAGGCGGGCCGACTGATAGGATAACATGGCTTCTTGGCTTCATTATATTGCAGATATTAGAGTTCATATCAACCCATCTCCCAAGCACCAATAATTTCCTAGAGCTCTTTGAAAATGCGCGTCTAAATCACACGCATGTAATGGAGTCGCCCAATGTTACAGCGCTCTATACAAACGTTTCAAATGGCGTCGCAATACAAGCCACTCATGAATTACTGATAGAAAACATAGAAAGAATAGATAAGTTCGGTTTGTTTGTCCAGCAGCTTATCATACTCCTTAAGTCATGCCTAAGCTGTTCGATATTTAGGTGATTGGGAAAATATTTTGCACAGATTAGAGGGTTGGCAAAGATTGGCGGGCAAAGATTGACACCCAGCTTAGCCATCGCGTTCATGTCAAAAGTGGAAGCTGCAGTTCTCCATCGGCGTCCAGTACTCTGCTGTCGACATATAGACTATTGTTTTGTCATCTGCTCTACACAAGAGAAGATGGATAAGTGCTTCGAAATTATGAACGGATAGTCAGAGTTTATTAAACTGACGCGGTAATAACAACATTTTGAGAACTAGCTTCCCTTCTTGAACGTTCAAGTTCAACTCAATGAAAGTGGCTACATACAAAATGGTATCGCAAGCCTAACAACAAGAACATCTTAGTGCATTACTTCTCTTCTCATCCTTCGCAAACTAAAAAAGCACTTATCGGAAATATGTATCGAGCAGCTGTGAGTGTTTGTGCGGGAGACGATGAAAGGAGGGAATCATTAGACTTAGCGCGACAAATAACCATTTCTAATGGGTACAATGAAAACCATCGGCTAACGTTAGACTCAAAAGGAGCGAAAAGCCTCGCGATGAGAACAGCGGGGTGCCATTCTTAAATAGCAAGGTGTCTTTCATCTACCTTTCATAACAGGCGAAGTAAGCACCGCTATTAGAAAATGCCTAAAAAACAGTGGTCTAGAAGATTCTGTAGGAATTGTACAAATTCTTCCTAAAACACTGCGCCGTCAATTAGATCGAAACCGCTTGTATGACCGTCTATGTTATGCAAAGGACTGCGGTATTTGCCCCAACGATAGAGCCAACGACTTCATTAGCGTAGGTACAAGATACCTTATCTCTTGCAAAACATATGGTGACGAATACATTGGCGAAATGGGCACACCACTTCACATCCGCATAAAAGAGCACCTAGACGGAAACACAAATAAAGACCCAAATAGACCTTAGGTACGCACAAAATGCAAAGGCATAGCGATGGCGACTTCAAGGTAATAGTCAAAATCTTTAGGCAAGCGCGGAAAACCCTCGAAGCTTTCCGGATAAATTTCAGAAACCCGCAAATGAACAAAAAGGGAGAGTGTCTTAACCTGAGTAACCATATGCCACTTCATCTCATACTGATTTTCTAGTGCGGGTATCAGCTGACACCTATCTTCGATTTGACCTAGTGACATGGGAAACGGGTTCATACGTTACTCTGCGCAATGAACATAGGTAGCTCCTAGACTAGATTAAACGGTGAATGGTTTTCCTGAATCAGTTGTCGCTCATCAATGCCTTAGGTCTTCAATTCTTTCCACAATACTCCACATAATTGTGTAAATAGCGTTTCGACAACTAATATGTTCAGGCTCTGAAGAAGGCGTACTTGCTGAAACGTCAGCCACCTATCCAAGATCCATCGATTGTCAACAAGGACAATCGATTGAATAGGTGTTACCAACCTCGCGAATGCTCAAAGTAGGGATTAGTCACTGGACTATTATTTTCTTTTTCTTAGTTTTATACTTAATAATTATCAGTTATCTTCTACAAATTAACTTTAGCATTCGATCTTATAGAATTGCAAATCAACACTGATCAACCCTTTACTCTCCTCCGAAGACCGACCTCCAAAAACTGTTCATAATGATGTATGTTCTTTCGGACACTTCTTCACTTATGCGAAAATCTTGCTTTGTTTGTTTTGCGGGTAGATGCGTAGCAGTTCCATTTCAATGTCCGGTACTCGGTGGATGTCCTCTGGTGCACGGTGGATCTGAAGTCGTTCTCATTTGATGAAGTCCGGAACGATTTGATGTTTTACGCAGCGTCGCAGAAAGTCCGGTCATTGCTGTAGTGTAGATATATAGAGATGATTGTTGCAGCAAGGATTCCGAGGAATCATTACTACTTCTATAGTCAATAGCAAGACATCCCATAGCTAAGTCGTCATCATGTTCTATAACGGCAGGTCCTTTAAAGATCGCGGCCACGTCGCTACGCACCTGGGTGGCGGTCATTTCGAAACTTGTTTGCTTCGTGAGCGGTCGTATCGTCACTTTTCATTGCGACACTCTGAGTTCGCCATTTATCGTTTCCTTCTGCTTATTCATTTTCTCTCGTTCACGAAATTCAATATATTGTGAGCGGAGCTCATGACGACGCGGCGGGCCAACTCCAAACGGGTTATGCTTAACTAACTCGCCACTGGGGGATGGGTTGCAGTCCCATTTACACATACTCGCCCTAATCATGTTGTGTATAATCACCCACTGGTTACCATCTTCGGTGTTCGGTTAAGTTTTCAGGGCAAGCATAATCGCATTCTCGGGGTTCGCCGCCTAGTCAAGCCGCGCATTCACGGTTCACATTCTCGCTTCTCAGTTATCGATGTTATGCTATTATCGTTACGCTACGAGGGGCCACTTTATTGAGTTAATTGTTATTGTACTATTATTGTAAGAATGTACATATATATATATTTTTTTTTCTTTAGGCTGTCTTTTTCCAATGCAATAAACTAATCTCTGTCCGTATCTGGGCCTACTACAAGCCGATAGTGGTATTCAAGTCAACCAGACAATCAATTAGTCAATCATTCAATCACACATAAAGTCAAACTCAGCGGTTGAACGCGCAAAAGCACTTAGCAGAAAGCGCTTGCTTCATGGTGTATCAGCCGACTCGCAGTTGAAATCGGGTCGCCATCTAGTCGTCTGGACAAGCGAGGGCACTCAGCAGAAAGCCCTTGCTTCAAATGTATGCTTATCTGTTCTATTCAAGAGACATGCACACATGTTTGAGATTGCTTAGCTCAATGGACAATCAAAAGTGCATCATATTCTCTCGTGAAATGCCACACGACAACTGGATTCCATTTTTAAACGTGCGGGTCTGATAACGGTTATATTACGGAATGGTACTAAAAATAAATTAGAAAAAGTACTTTGGTTCATTATCTCTTTTCTCCCTCTTTACAAGCAAAGAAGGCGCTTGTGAGGAACATGTTCGAACAGCCGTCAGTGTATGTACTAGAAGAGAGGGGGAGGACACGATTCCTGCAAATGGCTCTGAGGAATAAATGGTTATGAATTTCTGACCCCTCGTAAAAGCTTAGAAGTGAGGCCCTTCAAAGCGATGACATCAACGTAATCAAAGTCCTGTTTATCTTTCCTTTCTTACATTGGGGATAAGTATAGCTATATAACGTTGCTCATTGGCCGGCTAGGCTTACAGAAATCGGTAACGATGACTGCATTTCACCGAATACTCAATACTCTAAGGCGCCACCTAGTTGGCAACTGCTTATACGACCAATTATGTACAACGCAAAAGTTCTTATTACATTCAAAACGGTAGAAACGGTGATTTCATGAGTATGGTACGCTTGACCTAACCTTTTGTAGAATTCGCGGTCACAAATACAATGACGAAATATGAAGGCTCGGTGTTGGTACAAAAGAACACCTAATCGGTAGGCTCAGTTACTTTTTCACGGTTGCAATGGGCGCAAGTACACTACGTTGAGGATATTAAGCTACATTCTCGAACAGTAAAATAAAACCTCAGCAATGAGACTATGGAAACATCCTCGATTAACTCCATGAATCAAATATGAACATTTGAAGAGTACCTCACTCTCACACGTGATATGGCACTCTTTAAACTGTTACTAATTTGTTGAGCCATGCATGTGGTATATTATAGGCAACTAACAGAGCCCGATACACGTGTTTTCGGCCTTGACAGCCTCGTCAGTCGGGCAGTACCTTTCGTCTTTCTTAGCCAATCCTCTCAGGGAGTCCAATGCCAATATGGCGACGATGATGATCTACATGGCATCTTGACGATGATGAAAAGATGGCGAACCTTGCC